ATATGGGGGAGCAGGAACTTTAGGTAGTCAAGCTGCGTCTCAGTTCTTTCTCCAAGCCTCGCTCATCTTCTTGAAAAAAAAAATGAATAGTCTATTATTTTTACTGTTATTATTCTGTATACTCTGAACTCTTAGACAAAAGTATACCTTAACATGAAAACTTGCGAAAAGAGTGAGTTTATTGTTAGATTACTGAAACGTTTGAATGCTCGAACACATATACACACAAACGGAGATACTTGAGGACATAACAGCTACCTCTGCTAGTATTACCGCATAAAACGTTGTTGCAATAGACGCAGGCATACTTAATGTGGTTGCTGCCACTAATGGAGGTCCGCTCCTTTAGATTGATGATTCTCAACTTTAAAAAGTGTCCTTCGAACGTTAAAAATTTTTTATATTCGTAGTTTATTAGATAAATTCAAATTTTCGAAGATTTCGCCTGCCCCACCGCGGTGGTCCAGTGGCTAAGGTACTCGGCTGCTGACCCGCAGGTCGCGGGTTCGAATCCCGGCTGCGGCGACTGCATTTTCGATGGAAGTGGAAATGTTGTAGGCCCGTGTGCTCAGATTTGGGTGCACGTTAAGGAATCCCAGGTGGTCGAAATTCCGGAGCCCTCCACTACAGCGTCTCTCATGATCATGTGGTGGTTTTGGGACATTAAACCCCCCGTATCAATCCAAGATTTTGCCAGCAATTTTTTCTTTAATTTCTCCGGGTTTATCCGAAAACACCGAGCTCTGGCTATATTTCATTCTTTTGGAAAGTTTTAGAAATAATAAAGATTGTTGGAATTTTACGTCCAAAAATCACGATATAATTCAGGGGACGCATTAGTGGAGGGCTCCGGAAATCGCGACCGCCTAGGGGGTCCTTTAACGTACACCTAAATCGAAGTACACGGGTACTGGCCTTCATTGAAAATGCGCCCACGGCGGCTGGTACTCAATTCCGCGACCTTCGATTCAACAGTCGTGCTTCATATACACTGGAACACTATGGCAGGTAGCCGTAAGAAGATGAGGAGAGCGTGAGAGAGATAGAAAGCAATATACAGTGTGATATGAAAGTCAGCTGGTTGTTCGAAATGATAGATTTTACATTGATTTAGGTGTTTTTTGGGGACGAGAGTAAAAAATGAAACTGTGGAAATGTGGTTCCCTAAGGATGAAAGTGGCCTTCTGAATGAGCATGACCAGTAATGACATCTCAGTGTCTCAAGATACGGGGCAAAAATTTTATAAGGATGTGACGATAGCCTTTTGATTATCTGGCTGAATACGCGGGTTTGCTGATTGTACCAAGATAACATTTTCAGAGAAAGCTTCAAAAATAAAATTGATAAAAGCTCCAGCCATGCCATGATTGGCAAGCCCGCGCACACCGCGATTGAGTGCGGACCACATAGTTTATAGTTTGAGTGATCCGAGCAGAACTTCAGCTTCTGAGGCCACTCTCAATTGAGACAACTGAGGCCAGGATTCGTGAAACTGGTGTAAATAAGTATCCTCTCCTAGGCTTTCCCAGTGGTTGTTTTGTTATCATGAGCATAGTAAGCTGAGATTATAGGAGGACAGAGGCAATAAAAAAATCAGCAGTCACCAGACGTAACAGATGTAAAACAACTAATCAAGACTAGTAAAGTATAACTAGAAAAAATCCAGCTAAGCTGAATGAACAAATAAATCTGCTGGTAGGCCATATTATCTCTAATCTCTCTCCTTAATATCATGATGGTCACTAGAAAATGGAGGCCTGCCTTTGTAAATATAATGTGTTTCTTTGAAATATCGCTGATTTTTCGATATTTCTACTTTTGATGTAACGATGGGATGGTTTTAAAAGCGTGCAGAGCTATTCTTTTCTGATTTGGTGCTATCCTTTGATTTCTCGGTAAAGCGAGTGACGATGAGGCAGCCATAGGGAGCCGCGTATTCGACATATTTTCATTGAGATCATAACACTGCTTAGCCACGATCACTTAAAGACTACTACTAGAAGCAGGATAAGCGTCAAGTGTAATCCTTTTTTCTTCTTTCGACGATAACCTTTAAGAATACGAGGTGCTGATTGCACTGTCCTTGACAAGCGCCTGTTGCCGAAAGTGTCGCACAAATAGGCTTTTTTACACACTCCCTAACACCATGTCAATGATTGCAAGTCATTCCTGTCCGGTAACCTCGATGTGTCTGTAAACACTGAAGCTAGCCATCAACACCTCGTGTTTGTGGAGGATTAGAGACATTCCTCGTGATTATACGCATTAAAATGTTGATGCCGGTAGCCACCCTTGTTCATGAAACCCACTCCTTTCGCGTCGTATGCGGAAATCTTTCTCACGCCTGTTACTTTCACACTTCTTCACGAACGCACGTGCCCCTTGCCGTGGGTTAATGTTGTTCCGTATGCTGGCACTCGTCCATGACCTGCAGCTATGCCATCCGCCTTTAGAGTCTTTTACGAACGCCTTAAAGAGTTCATATTAAAATGGCTTACATCTGGGTTGGAAGGTGCTCTTGCATATCGAGTGGTTGCAGCGATTTAAAAACGGACGGACGAAGGTATAAGAAACACGAAGACACCGCTGCATATTCGAGTTCCTTTACATCGTCCGTGCGTTTCAATATTGCTGCAATCACTCAAAATGACAGTTCAAATTATGTGCGAACTGCCCCGAAGCATCCGGTACAGCATTGCGGAGTCGTAGCTGAGGAATCTAAAAAAATTTGCTCTGCGTGGGAGCATGCAGAAACGACTGCACGCAATATGTAATATGACCTGTCTAATTAATATTTTCTTTGCGCTAACAGACAACTTTTCAATATCAAAATGTGGAGCGTGTCTCGGCCTGAATTAGGGACGTAACAGAAGAAAAGAATATAATAATAGAAGCCTTTGCTTCAGTCCCGGAAGCCATACGCGTTTGGGGGCTCTGATAAGCCGTCAATTATAAAGGAGAGTTTTTCGGACGTATTTCACGCATTCCATTGACCCTCCCAGAAAAGCGCCCACCATATCGACTTTTGCCTGTGTAGTTTTTTTACGTTTGATTTGTCCCATGAAATGTTCCTGTTATTCATGGGTCGAATTCAGAAAGTTTCTCACTTTCAGGAGTTTTTTTTTTTTTTGCTAGTGGAATATTTTTAGTGAAATGCTGTTTTTTTACTCCGGTTTTCACGTCCAATGTTGAATAACGGTAATGGAGGATGTGGCTAGACTGCGAAAAGATCGCGGAAAGTTTTCTCTCTATTGCAGTACTTTTAATATGGTTAAATGAAGTCGAAAATGCTTTAGGCTCATATGCTTAGATTTAAGATCACGTTAAAGAATTTCAGGTGGTCGAAATATCTGGAGCCCTGTACTACGTCGTCTCAAAATCATATCGTGGTTTTGCGACCTTGAATTCCAATAATTGTTAATAATACGTTTAATACTGTGGCATGAGGACCCACGCATATCATTCTACCCGCAAATAAAAGAATTCGGTGAAGATTTTGTTTCTTTATAATCAACGTATATGCACCTGAGACAAGCAAAATAAAAATCAGAAAAAAACAAGAAGAAAGATTTATTGTAAGAATACAACAGCGAAGAAGCTTTTCTTTAGCAATTTAGATGTTTTCTGCGTGGACATTGCTTTGGAAGGGAGTTTCATTGGGCATACTAGTAGTGCATGCTATAAAAGCACCTCAATACCTGTATTTAGGTTTGGATAAAATACCCCAAAAGGGGTAAGTATCATCTATGCTCCTGCAACTAGCGCGCCTCATTGTCACATCATAATTTCGGCACATAAAACCCCATACTTCATTTTTATGAAAACCATTAACTCTCGAAGAAAGTACGAGGTAACAGCCACCACGAAAACAACAAACTAGAGGAGGAAGAAGACACCTACACGCATATAAGTATTTTCTGCCAATATGAACCAACTAGCCCGAAAGTACATGTCGATTAAAGTAACGCGTCTAACTGGGAAACGTGTAGCTATGCTTATCAGTGCACAACTAAAACAAACTCGCCTCGTACATGTGACGCGCCGCAGCAGCTGCATTAGAACATGAACTCACATAGCTTCCGTATTGCAGGGTAGAGAGGTTGACGAGTTGGTAATGAAGCAAATATACCTTCGACCTAGCGTTAATTACAGTTTTGCTTGCATTCAGCTTTCAGCCTTCACCACCAGCAAGGTAGAAGGTGGTGTGTTCTACTGTCTTTATCAATCGTGCTGTATCGAGGAACTTTCGCGTGCATCTGCTATTGCGGTCACAGTGAAATTAAGAAGCTATCCTGCCAGGTAGCTTAGAGCCCAGCGCGTGAGAACCCAGATATAGAGTAAACTTCTTCAGCGGGTAAGCCGCTTCGCTTCAAGTTGGCGTACAGAGGGCGGAGAATCACCGTGGTTGAGTTTTCTTTTATGCCGTCTACGTAACGTCGTTGTTCAGGGTCTAACGTTTTACATTTGAATACTCAATGTACCGAAGACCTGTTGCGTAGCGTGTAGAGCTGAGGCGTCACGGTCGTGCCACTTGGTGCTCCAGAACTAGTTGCATGAACTTCGTTCAAAATGGTGAGGTTCAAGTTACGAGGGAAGTTCAACTTAGTTTGGTGGACACAAACGTAAAGCATGTTTAGGCGTGGAGAAAGAAATGACAGCTTGGGCTGTCCGTTCTTTCTCGTGCGTGCTGTGAATTTTCACTTATCCTACGCATGTTATTCTATCGAACTAGAATGTTTCTCAAGTAAACAGGAACAAAAAGAAGAACGCGTTTTTTTTAAGTAATAACAACGAGAACACGCAGGACAAACAGGTCACAACAAAACGCAGGATTAAATTGATCATCAGTGAACGAAAAAATCAGAGGCTTAGCTTGGAACCAACGTTCCGACAGGAGATATGAAATATGTCCACAGTGCTGCTTCTCTTGTTCTCCCACTGTTCTCAACACACAGAGAATAATGCCCAAAAAACACACGTTCAAACGGACGTTACTCACTTCGGTACGCCCATGCTTTCTGTTGCCGCAATCCAGAGAAGGTTTTCAGTAGACTCGATGAGCAGTCCACGGAGAGCTCGGGACTCGTCACGAGTTCCGAGACAATGGGGAAGAACTTTTTGATCACTACCTGTGCGATATCTCGCAGGTCCGCCTCGTAGCTCCTAGTGGCACTCTCTTGACTCGACACACAGAGTACGAGAATGCTGCAAACGAGCACCCTCATGGTGACGCTCTTCGGTGAAGCACACATGTTGTATTGTTGAATTTTCTACTCTAAAGGGGAAATAAATAAACGAAGTGTTCGAAAATAATACTGGAGCCCGATGAATCGGGAGGCCGGTTCGTGAGCGATTGCTTTTATCCACGTCGTCTCTCGCGAAGTGCAGCGTCCGCGGTGTGGGCTGCGTGCGAACACGCGCAGATCACGGCGACAGCGGCATAAGTTTAGCCCTGGCCTGTTTGTGCGTCAGGGCGCGGATAGCTATGACGGTGCTGTGATTCCTCGCTTTCCAAAGTATCCGCTTTCACGCGCGCACCCTCCGCTTAATTGGTTTGAGACGCTAGCCTCATGACTTTGTAGAGAGTCGCCTTTAACAGCGTCAGGCTGTTTGAGAGGGTTTTCATTCCAACTAGCGCTTGGAGCCATGGTAGTAGGCGCTCCACGGAGTGGACGCACCGCCACTTTCACTCTTGGCGCGCTTGCCGAGCGCGGTGCTTTTCGTATCACCTTGACCAACTCTCGCCGCGAAGCTGCGAATCATTGCGTAATGGCGCATTTCATAAGCGGTCAAGTGTGGTCAAAGCAATTACTCCCTCTCCCTTCAATATCTCGTGTTTTACCACTTTCTCAATACATGGATGAATGAGGTATTCACTTATCGGTAGGCTGAAAATGATATTTTGAATGCAAAAAGAAATTTCATTAAAGAATTCTTGCAAAGAGAAAAAAAAACAATACTGATGAAAAGAGCACACACTCTCTCGAAGAGACGTACGTTACTTGTAGTGTTGTATAATGTCACTTACAAAATCAGCGCATGTAAGGTTACGTCGTGGTGTATACATGATTAAAAAGGGAAAAAAAGGTCGTCGTGTACAACATTGGTGCTGCTGACTACCTTATCATGTCTTAGTCTGAAAACAACGCCACAATAATAAGATCACTAAAGGTCTTATATATTGCATACTGCGTTTCTTCGTTTATTTTGCAGAGAGCATTTGTAATGACGGATAAAAATATGACCAGAACAATTCTACTGAAACAGCCCATCAGGTGTCGGTCTCCCATCCAAAAGAACAACAAAATCTGAGCGCCAACATTTCCAATGGAGGCGGAAATGGTGTAGGCCCGTGTGCTCAGATTTGGGCGCATGTTAAAGAACCCCAGGTGGACAAAATTTCCGGAGCCCTCCACTACGGCGTCTCTCATAATCATATGGTGGTTTTGGGACGTTAAACCCCACATGTCATCAATCGGAGCACCAAAGCCTGAGGCAAATGCAAGTTGAATAACGTAGCTGTGTCATTTCACTCAGTAGATGTCTACGGGCTCTATCTTGCTAATAAGTGGCCCATTTATATAAAGATCTGGTGTAAAAAACTGGTTCTTACGCCCGCAGTCATTCCTATATTCTCATTGTTCAAAGTCAGAGGAAAACAATACAGTTGGAGCCCTAACAAATCATTTCATATTTAAGCAATTCAAGCTGATCTGCGTTTCGACAAACAAAGTCACTAAAGCTACGGATAATGTTTTGTGCGCCAAGAACAAAATTTACGAATACGCATCTCTCTGTTTCTCTGTGCTTTTTGATAATATAGGAGTGGGGAGGGAAATCAGCGGCTTCAAGTAAGCCATAAACGCTGCCCAAGGACCCCTGCATAAGATCATTACCAGTCTCGAGATCGTTTTTTTAGAAGTAGATTGTTGCATTATTTTCAAGGGTCGGGGGACGAGACACCAATTCTAAAAGTCATTTGCTCACCATAAAGGCATGCACGTACAGGCTTCAACGAACCACCGTGTCTCTTAAAGTGGCAGCAAGGACATGGGCCGGTGACATGGATATACCGAACTAGAAGCTTTGTAAATGCACTTAATATTTGAAATTTGTTTCACAATGCCTTAGACGCATTGAGAAAATTTTATGAAATCATTTCTTGCATCACTAAGCCGCAAGCTTTCAATGCTTCCAACGCCTCGCCTGGATTTAGCGCTACTTGCGGTGCAGTTGTCACGGCAGTGGACGCACAGAACACGAAAGGAGATAGAAACAGCATTTCATTTTCGGTGTATGGTTGACTTTGTGAGATGGTACACGCACACGGAAGGCGACAAGACAACGCTTGCGGTCCTTTCAGGTTCTCGTCTTAGTTTTCCTTTGTAAGCCATCTCAGAAGTGAAATCGTGCGCTTTCAATGGTGCCATTCCATGAGGCCACTGTCTAAGCAAAGCCTAACGTACTTCTGATCGTCTTTTTTTTTATCGTACGCTAGCGAAAGGTAAATCTGCGTTGAAAATGCAAAAGTGAGCAGCGATCACGCACGGTCGACTTCATAAGACCCATTGCTAGCTGCTCCATTAACCGTTAGAGACGCCACGCTTCACACAAACGAGAGCACGTCGCACCCATGCGTAAGGAGCAGGTTTACATCACCCAAAATCCTGGAGAGCAGGGAACAGAACGTTCCCTTCACCATCCGCACGGCGCGCTGGAGAGGTCAATCGAAACACAAGCCCTCGCACTACCGCGCAGCGGCGTTCAGCGTACCATTGGTTCTTTGCACTCACCCCTCTCCCTTCTTACGCGCACCACGCATACACGCGCACATTTACTACGCTTACTTTCAGTAGCCCATAATGCAAGACCGTACTCACGAGAGAGGGGGAAAAAAAGAAGCTGAGCGGGGCTGCCCGGCCACCGAAGGTCGCGTTTAACGCCGCGTCTGTGTTTTCATTTGAGCGCAGAGAACGGAACGCTTAAGGTAGCGAGCTATTAGAACACGGATTTTCGCGCATAAGCGTTCGACCTCATTATGAGGGATGCAACAGGCCAGGAGCGGATGCCAAAGAAGCTTTTGTGAACGTAAACCACCCGAGACAGCTGGCTCTCTCGATAAGCATGTTGCGAAGAGCAATTATAATAGGGCAAAACAAAGGAAAATAGAGAGAATCCCTGGAGCGTTGTTGGCATAGAAGGCACTCGGTAATGACTCGGAAAGAAACGCGCGGCTTTCCCCGACTCCTGTAAAAGCCAGGACTCACGCGATCCGCTGATTACTCGGGAAGTGGCTACGTAGCTACGTGCTGGAAGCGAACTGTTTTGTTTTCAAAGAAAAAAAAGATGGGAGAGCTGAGCTATGAATATCTTGGAAATACAATTTTGGTTACGAAACGGGTTTCGGTGTAATGAGATTATATAATCACATAATGCTATTCCAGAGAAGAGAAAAACTTACAACACACACGCGCGCTTAATCTACGTTAACAGAGAGCAGGAGACATTCGGCCGCCTTCCTCTAGATTTCCTACTTAGGCTACTTGCCCGCTATCAGTAGTATATTTGGGTATATATAAGCTCACGTATATGCTGCCTACAAAACAGCGCCACTGATTCGAAATATGTTTGATTAAAAACATATAGTTATCAATTATGAAACTGGATGTGGCATTTTACGCTCCGCGCTCGTTGCACCAAAACCTGATGTTTAAGGGTAATATTGCGACTCCCTTATTCTTGAACAGAAAGCTACATCCTTCTCTTTCAAAGGTGGTGGATGCAGTGTTTGATTTATGGTGAAATTTATATTCGCACTTGTATATTACTGCTGATTCTAATGCATGGTGACTTCGCGTTGACAGCGCTCTACGAATAAGTTGTGAATCTGTAGAAGATGCCGCTGCAAATTAAGCTGATATTACTCGTATATTCAGCGAGGATATCAAGTCTCAGATGATTTCTTTGCGTTATCTTAATTGTGATGGATAAGAAAACTATGGCGTTAGTTTCAGGGATTGCATAGACATCATTTTTAACCTTTTTTTCTATCAAGCCGTGAGCACCGTATTTGTAAAGACCCATAACCGAGACCAGCGGAACGATCCTAGCTAGAAAACATGCAAAATGGAAGAGCATATATCGTCGTCTGTAAACTCAGTGCACGTAGGGTTCTTCACCTGCTCACTGCAGTACATACACAATATTATTGAGGTGTCTGGATTGATATTAACAATACTAATAGGTGGGTTGTAACGTCCCAAAACCACAATATAATGATGAGAGACGCCGTAGTGGAGGGCTTCGAAAGTTTCGACCATCTGGTGTTTTTAACGTGCAGTCATATCGCACAGCGTATACACGGGTCTCTACTGTTTCACCTCTATCGAAATGTGACCACCGCGGTCAGAATCGAACCTACGACCTTCAGGTCTGCCGCTGAGCATCCTAGCCACTGATCTACCGAGGAAGACCAAGTGTTTGAAATGAAAAAGCTTCATTCGAAAGGAAGTAGATGGGGTTGTGCCAAGATTCGAAAAAAATCGGACCGAATAGTGTTATATTGATTCACGTTGTCCCACAGTATGCGTGATTCGATTTGAATACTGAAGCCCCGCCGCGGTGGTCTAGTGGCTAAGGTACTCGGCTACTGACCCGCAGGTCGCGGGTTGGAATCCCGGCTGCGGCGGCTGCACTTCCGATGGAGGCGGAAATGTTGTAGGCCCGTGTGCTCAGATTTGGGTGCACGTTAAAGAACCCCAGGTGGTCGAAATTTCCGGATTCCTCCACTACGGCGTCTCTCATAATCATATGGTGGTTTTGGGACGTTAAACCCCACATATCAATCAATCAATCGATTTGAATACTGAATTGAATCGAACAATAATCTATTTGATCAGTACTAAGATTAAATCATGCATATTGTGAGGCAACCTCAGGCAGATTCTTCTTTTATTGACACTTGAGCCTGAGAACCATTGCTCAGCCCAAGGCGAAGATGAGGTGAATTTGCAGGGGATAAGATGAAGCGTACGAAGAATCTCACGCTAATTTTCTGGTCCATGGAAGCTGCCAGCCTGATGTCGCTTAGACTGGGTAGAGACGTCGAACGAAAGGCCTTACGACGCAAGACGAGGACTATACCTCAGAAAATGGCAGAGAGGTTCGGTAGAAACCTCAACAAAAGTGACACGATAGTCTACAGGAGATGTTTGACATTAAAAACTGAGGATACAAGGAGTCGTGACTGAAACTTCTCGCACAATCCAGGAACACGAGTTGGCGTACAAAGGCGCACATTCGTCGCCAGATGGAAAGAGACGCCGTTATGGGAGCTTTCATATCGCTGCTTGCGATCGTGCCGACTAGCTTCTGTACTGAGCCGAGCAAGTTGCCAGCATTTTCCAAGTCTCCAAATCAGCTGTTCGGGTAGTCAGTACTATTAAAGAATGATGCGTCTATCGTGAATGTCCCCGAATGACCGTAAGCGAGGTGTAATGGTGGATAGCCAGTAGTGCCTTGGACGGTGGTATTGTGAGAACACGT